GGACACTCTTGTGGGACACTCTTGTAGGACACTCTTGTGGGACACTCTTGTAGGGTACTCTTCGTACGAGACTTCCTCCAAGAGTCACACGTCAAGTCTCCAAAACGAGCGTTTCGTACGAGACTTCCTCCAAAAGTCACATGTCAAGTCTCTCAAAGGAGCGTTTCGTACGAGACTTCCTCCAAAAGTCAAGCAGAAACACCCATCGGAGCACACACATCACGCAGCCCTGCCAAGCAGTTTCGCGAGTCCAGCCCCTCCAAACAACACCCGTTCACACGCCAATCCGACTGTGACAGCGACATTCACTTCTACCACAACTCACGACCTCACAATTCCCTGCGCCTGCCACGAATCTTTCTCCATCCACATGTCTAACGCGCACAAAGTACTGCGCCTGCCACGAAATGTCACCTCCGTCACACCTCGCAACCTCACCATTCCCTGCGCCTGCCACGAGAATCGCACTTCCACGCCTCAAAACCCACACTCAGTACTGCGCCTGCCACGAAAAGTGACAAAATGCACCACACCACAAGTTTGGAATGATTTCGACCCGTTCTGAGCACACTCCCATCCACCAAAATCGGCATTTCAGCTGAGACTTGTCACGAAAACAGAGCTTCGATGCCACACCCTGAAACGCAAATCCCAATGGCACGGCCATGTCCAACACCCCAAGAACACGACTCTGCAAACGCTAATCCCAATGGAACTGCGTAGCAACCTGCGGATCTCACAAAACGCTGCGCCTGTGCAGCGAAATGCATCACGCTTCTTGCGCGACGTGTCATTTTCATGCAAATCACAATGGAATAGCGTCGCAAACTGACACGTGACACATCCATGAAAAGTCACTTGCAAAAGCTTCCCCCAATGGCAGCGCCTTAGCGCTCTAGTGCGAACGGTTGCGAACGGTTGCGAACGGTTGCGGACGGTTGCGGACGTAGAAACAACGGATCGCGAACAAGGCTCTACCCCCAGACCCCCAAGAGTTAAACGAGAACCCTTCGCTACGCATTCGGGAAAAAGACGCATATAAGGATATGATATAAGGGATGATATAAGGATGATATAAGAACAGACTAGTCCGACATGAGTGAGTGAGTGCCTGAACATGTTGATTGGAGCCAGTGTTTGGATCTTTGGGGGGCTTGGTCATGGTCAAGATGCATTACCTTCCATTCCAAAACTGTCTAAGGCCTAGGGTGCTGCCATTGGCTGAGGAGCACGGGTGGTTTTGCTGCATTGATTGAGTGAGGTTGCAGATTGGATCGATCGTAGACGCACTCGTGGCCGATCTCTGATTCAAACCTCTCGGTACACTAGCTTCTTCAAAGGAACCTTTTTGGAGTCCCTCAGTGATCTTTTACATGATTTTACATGTCTATTATGTGACCTCAAACCCGCGAATGAAGCCGGTCACGTTGAACCAGGTTTCAACTCACGAACGAAATCGAGTTCGTCGGTTTTTCTTTCCCCTTCACCCCAGAAGAAAACGGTTGACAACGGTTGAACATATCCAGGTTGGTCTCTGAAAGCATCACGAGTCGAGTCGATCTTGGTCCTCGAGCCGATCCGGTTCCTTCCTCGAGACTTCACTCTGGCCACTTCGCCCGTTGGACTTGTTTGCGACTCTTTGGAGGTGTTGGTTTTGGAGGTGTTGGTAACCCTACCATCATCGACTCCAAAATGCTCCAAGGTGCCAAGTACTAAAGATGCTAAGTTGTTCGTAAATTAAGGTAGTACTAAGTAAGACATCAGTCTTCTACCACGAGTCTACCTAATCTTCAACTCACCCACTTGGAGCTTTCTCAAGTTTTAGGCTCTCCGCACAGCAACCTGCACAAAACCCACTTGCACAACACTTTGAGCAGGGAACCACCAGGGCTGCGATGTTGTCGCGAGTGAGGTGTAGGATGATCTTGGACACCTGCGCCACCTGTGAGGTGAAACACAGCACAGGCTCTTTCGGGCGCTTTCAGGTCAGTCTGGAGACTATAACTGGAAGGCACTTCTGCAGACTATCAGTATTGGAAGGCTGAAGATTTGGAAATGCTGGACTCCCAGACTTGAGACCTGGAAAATTGTACCAACATGTCAGTCTTCGCGAAAGGCATGCGGTAGCTGCTAGGTGGCAGGAATTGCCCACAAAGGAGTTGACTCAAGAAGGGATTCTTGCTGTTATATCCACAATGAGGCAACGCTGCTAAGCCAGGTATAGTCACTGCTGGTCAACCTGCCTATTCTGCTCCAATGATCCCAAATGTTGCTAGTGCATACAGCAGCATATTGTGTGTGTGTCATTCATCTTCATTCGCTCCACTCCCTTTCACGGCACCAGCTTCACTGCCCAAATTGCTGCCCATGGTCCAGGTTCCTCTGCCGGACAAACTCAAGAACCACCCCATGGACTGCTGGTGGCGGCGGACAGCGACGGAGTCAACGGAGTCCAGTGAACACCTGGTGTTTTGGGAGTGAACGTGGCATTTTCATAATAGGGTACTAGTATGAGGATGTACTGAACACTGGGAAGCCATAGTTTCTGGTTGAATCGTTCACCGCACCTCCTGCGCAGGCAAGTTCAGCTGGATGGCGCTCAAAGGAACCCAAACCTCACTCGTCCACGTGCCCACTTCGTCCATCCGTCTGGGCTGTATACACGCCGGTGAATGGGGTCGGGGTCCGGCGTGAGGCATGAGGGCTGCACTCCGGCTACTAAGGAGGCTGGTTGAATATGATGGAATTGAATATGGCCGGTGGAATTAGGATAGTCCAATACTA